TATCTATAAGATGAAATGGTTTTGAAAAGCTTGAATCATTTTATATAATTCCGTTCTGCGTCCTACGGTCTATTAAGTGAGGCACTAATTATTTGTCAAATGGTAAGAAAGATGTTTCATTGATATTTTATTTTATTTTATTTTTCACAATTTTCTTGAATAAAAAGCATAAATATTTAAAATCAAATGCAAGCTCCGAAAAAGATTAATAATAATCATCGTCATTTATCGTTTCCATTATATGATAATTATCACTCATCAATGCTGTCATGTGTTTCAGAGTATCCATGGTATTTTTATGTATTTGTCTCTGAATTTGTTGAGCATATTGTGCTTCTTGTAAACGCTGTTGCCAAAACTGATTTAAATTGTTTTCTTCTTTATCTTTTACTTGTTGTGCATCTTTCAATGAATAACCAGTTAGAGGATCATATTGTAGATTTGGAAATCTTTGACATACTTCTATTGCACGTTTAGCCAGTAATAAATAATTATTAATTCGTAATAATGGAGCTTGAACAATTGTGAATTTATGATTAGGATGTAATTTATTTGCATTTTGATAGCATGATTTGCATAAATCATAACTTGCACGACATTCATCACAATGATATCGAATACCTTTAAAATTTTCTGCTTTACAACCATCACATAATGTGTTATAATGTATTATCATATGTTCATCCAATGAATAATTATCTTTTTTAAATGTATGTTGTGGTGAATGTTTAGTTTTCATCAAATTTATACATTTCGTACAAACCTCAAAACCATTTGGACATTGCTGACATAAATAATATCGATCTTGACTTGGATATATTAGATTAAAACAATGTTGACATGAGCCTGTTGGTTCGGTAAGAAACTTATATGATTCAAAAATTGACGTTGTCTTTTGAAAAGAAAAAAACATTCCTGTTAAATATCTTATTTCGTTAACTCCGTATAGTGAATTTGTATTTTGAACACTTTTAAAGAAATAATAAGTTTTCAAAGAATGATATAACTGCATTAAATATCTAACATCTTTCAGAAATATTTAGATATCAATATATTTTCCTATGTGAATTTTTGAATGAACCTAATTTATGTTAACAACTCAGATTTTTCTAAGAAGCAAAGGAAATAATAAAATATAAAAAAGAAAGTAGTCTAGCGAAACTATATACATCTCAAGTTAACTGTATATTTCTAATTATGTATTTTTCTTTGAATAGATCTTGTATTAAAATATTCGAGTTTTTTTAGATTTTTTCAAACGTTTATTTTTGTTTAAGAATGGAAAAACTTTAAAAAGTTAATTTTGAAATATTTTTATAGAAATCAGAATTGGTAATTTATAAAATCAAAGGTAAAACCTCGAGAATTACTAAATTAAAGCACACATCTAGTACGAAAAATATGAATAATTTATCCAGTGGACTATTCAAAATAATGAGAGTCGTATAATAAAGACTAATATCATAGTAAAGATCAAGTCTTACCGGTGCCGCTGCCAGATTAGCTTTAGCTAATTTTACGCCTAAATCTTTTATTTGTTTCTCTAGATTATGTATTTGTCGCACATTTGAACATCGTTTACATACATAATTTAATTTACATTCACGACATTTATAATAAGAATCGTTTCCAGTAGGAATCATTTGTCCACAAGTTGTACAAAATATTGAAGAACTTCAACAAAAGGAAAACAATAATATTTCATGCAAGTATATACATACGCCTGGAAAAAATAAGCTTTAGTCTGTATTTTGGGAATATCGTTATCATAGTTGTATATTTTTTTAAAAATAATCATATATTCTGAAAGGGCGTGAAGTTTTCTATCACTTTGTATACTAGCCTTGCCGTTTGAATATATATATATTAGAGACTAAAACTGAGTTTGATGTAGGCAGCATCATGTTTAGATTTCTACAGACTTGATTTTGTCACTGTCACTAAAATTAGTTTTTTAAATTTTTCATCATTATAGAATTATCTTTTCAAAAAAAAATAATATATTCTGATAGAGCTTGAAATTCTCTATCGCTCTGTATATTTACTTATTTACTTATATTAGTTTATCGAAGAGAAAATTAGAGTATGGCGAACGCATCGTCAATTGATATGGATCGATAATGTACCTTTTTTCGTTGCTGGTGAAGATCTATCTTTAAATTTATTATTCTTACGAGGAATTTTATTTTTAAAAAGCAATCACAGATTCTGATAGTTTTAAATTCTCTATCATCCTGTGCATTTGTCAACTATTTTGCATTTATGTGCTGTAACGTATTCAATACATAAAATCAAGGCAAGGGAAAAGTATATAGAACGATAGAGAATTTCAAGCTCTATCAGAATATATTATAATTATTTTTTTGAAAAGATAATTCTATAATGATGAAAAATTTTAAAAACTAATTTTAGTGACAGTAACAAAATCAAGTCTGTAGAAATCCAAACATGATGGTGCCTATATATTAAACTCAGTTTTTTTTGCCAATATATATATATATATTCAAACGAAAAGGCTAATATACAAAGTGATAGAAAACTCCACGCGCTTTCAGAATATATCATTATTTTCTAAAAAATATACAACTATGATAACGATATTCCCAAAATACAGACTAAAGCTTATATTTTCCAGGCATATATATATATAACTTCTTATCTATGCGAAGTCATTGTGATGAATTATTGTTTACTGCTTTACTTAATGTACTAAAAAATACGATTTTTAAAATTGGTTTATTCAAATTCATAGTTTTCGTTGAAGTAAAAAGCAAATAAGGACATCTTTCTTAGGCTTTTTCAGAATAAAACTCAGAAGAATCAAGTAAAATTTATTCGAACCCAGTATGAATGAATTTAAACTACACTCGATCAGTTTGGTTTATTTCATTGGAAACTAAAGAAATGTGCTTCAATGCCGAGTAAATAAATTCCAATGAATGAACATTAACTTGAATGAATTTAAGTTATACACGCGAAAGAACATATTTTTGAAAACATAAACTTACTCGTAGATTTGTTTTTAAAACTATATATATCTAATGCTGTATTAATACTACTTTGTTTAGTCACTATTGTAAAGTGATATACCGTCAATATATATAGTTCGCAACAAGACGTAATTTGTGAATCGAAACAGTTTTTTCCGGATCAATAAGCAATGATATTCAAGTTATAATAAATCTCGTCTGAAATCTACAAAAATCCTAAGATGCTATTCGCCATGGTTTCTCGTTAGAAAAAGGGTATAATGTTGGTTAAATGCAATCGGAAGTAACATTTTCATACATATCTGAGGCTATTCATTCAATATTTACAAACAAATGCTTTCTCTTTTGTTCTTAAAGAATCTAACAAAAAAAATTACATTATTCAAAAGAGCATGCAAAAGTGAGTTAAATATGCCATTCTTCTAGGAGACGTACTCATAAGTCCTCAGTAGAAATTTTTTAAACATATCTATTATTAGGATCAAGAAAGATCTTTCATTATCTTCGTATGTTCCTCATTGAATTATGTTACTTTTCGTTTTTTTTTCTTTCTTTACTTTTCATTTGTCCTTGATGATTATACAAATATATAGATAGAACAGAACGATAAATGAAGAGAATCGATGACTCACAAGAAGAAGCGTAGAAACTATTCATGTTTTGGTAATTCTTTCATACTCTTCTGAACAATTCAATCATCTTCAGAACTACCGTCATCGCGTGCAACAATCTGATGATTAATGCTTATTTATTCATAGAAATAATCTGCTTTTTTTTCTAAATATATTATCTAATTTCAGATTTTTCTTTTAAATTATTGTTTTAATTCTTATCTAAGTCTTTTCAATTAAGTTTGTCATAAATACTGAAACACCTTGAAAAATAATTTTATATGGAAAATGATGAATTTTCAAATAAGTCGAAATTCTAAATGACATACGATCTAATATAGTTAATTATAATAAGGATAAAAACTAAAATGCATTCATTCTTCATTCACATTCACTATCGTCATGCATTCTTTAGCTTTAGCATTTCATTTGTATTAATGCAGTAGGAGTTGTCGAAGAACTTTTAATTCTTTGTAAATGTTCTAAATGTCGATATTATTAGTGAAATAATTAAAATAATATAATTGTTACAATATTCTATATAGAAAGAGCATAAAATAGTCTTTATTGATACTTAAAATATTTATATAATAGTAAAATACGGAGAACAGCTATGAAAAAATAAAAGTCAAGAATGATAGAGTCAATAAGAACATCATGATGAATAGATAAAAAAAGAAACGATGAAAAAAACCATAATAAGTTAAATGTATAGTGGTGATTAGTAGTATAATCTTTAGATTACGATAAAAACCATTTTACTTGTCTTTGTTTTAAGTTTAAATATAATGCATATCTTATTTAGTTTGAAAAAAACAATATCAAAATGTTCCAAAAAAATTATATCAGAGTTGAAATATTATTATCATGGATATATGTACATATCTATAGATAGAAAATTACATTAGAGAAGCTGCTGAAAATTTTCATTTATAAATAGACTTACTATTAGTTGAATATAGATATTACATAACGCAATTAGGTAATGTTATATTAGTTTTGAAGTTTCTTTTATATGATTGCAAACAAAATTTACATATCATTGAGCGAATAACATAATGAATTATATTTTTAAAAACCTATCATATTTTGTTGACACATGTCTTTTTATTTTACAATATTCTATTTTTATCATTATTAATGGATAAAAGATAACAATTGAATGAAGATAAAAATATTTTTTTGATTTGACGTATTTTCGTTTACAATTGATTGTTTGGCTATCAGTCATAAGCCTTGTAAATGGTCATAAACTATTATGAACAAATGATAATAATCACAATATATGAGTATTTTATTTTTATTTTTTGATATCGTCAATACTTATGTATTATCATCTTCTATTTTTGTTTTCTTAATCTTAATCAACAAAGGTATTGTTATTGTGTGTGTAATTGTCACGACTTGCATTATCTATCATAAACAAAAAAAAACAAAGTAATGCGCATCACAAGGGAAGAATGTCTATCGATAAAAATAAAACGGTTTTTTCCAACTTGACGGTTGTGATATGACGTCCTACTGTGATTCATTTTTTTTATTGGATTTCCTTGATTTTCTTTCGCAGGTCGGATCTTTTGCAACATCATCTGATTTAGCGATATAACAATTTCAATTAGATTAAATGAAAGAACTTGTTTTAACAACGATGCTTTTCATGTCGTTCAATATAAAAGAATTTATAAAAAGAAAAGTATTTTTTTTCCTTTTAATAAGAACATTCTTGAAATATGGGAAGATCTATTTCTCTTTGTAATAACAGTTAGAAAATGACTAACAATAAGACTGCGAAGAACTGAGTTTTAAAAATTATGAAAAAAGCTGGTCAGCAATACATAAAATAATTATTGATGTAAATATTTGTAAGAAGACTGAAATTCAGATACTATAAGATGAAAGTTTAATTTTTGCTCGAAGAGATACAAAATCTATTTTCACAGATTGAAGCTTTCTTTCCAACGTTTAGTAACTATATGCTTGTCGTTTAGTTGTTGACTACTTTAGATAAATAATGGAATTCTTTTCAATCATGTGTGAAGAACAGTTGCATTAGCCCTAATATTACCAAACTCTAAATGGAGAAAAAATTTTCGATATCCTGTTCAATATGCAATAGATTCATTAGATGTTTTATTAAATGTTAGGTATTTATTTGCAAATCGTTATAACAGATCGTTGCTTATTTCAATGACGAACTTTGAATTCTGTTTCTGAGGAATCTTCCACAACGAACTTCTTCAAAAGTTTTATTACAACCTTGAAATCATATAATTTAATGAATTATCGAAAGGTTGATAAATGTCAATTCGATAAAGACAACATGATTTAGTGTTGCAACTCAGTTGAATCATGTGGTCATCATGAACATTTGTAATGATTATAAAAAAATATAAATTCATTCGATTGACAATAGTATAATTATTGCCTCAATCGGTTTTCGTTTAATGTGATAATCGTATTGAAATGAAAAATCTAGAATATTATCTATTATTTGAATCCAATTGATAAGCATTTATCATTGAAAAAGACACATTGTCTTAATTTTTCGAGGTTTTTAATAGCATTTTGTTTTAAAACTTTACACATTTCACATATCTTCAAGCAAAAAAACTAAAGATGCAAATTTAACAAAAAGATTATGGAGTAAAAGATTGCTTATCGTACTAAAAAATAATAACAGAAAAATATCTCCAGTGTGCAGGTGGCTATTCCATTATTTTTTCTTTCTTAGACCGAAAACATTGATTTCATGAAGTAAAAGCATGATAATACGATGAAGGAGAAGACTCCAAAAAATGAAACCGACATGAACAAGAGGGAAACGAAATGATTGTAGAATATATATATATATATACAGTGGCTGTCAAAATTGTGCGACCACTCCTTATAGTGTACTTTTGTTGCCTAGTTTTTCGATGATGACAGCAGATAGAAACTTTTAGTTTTCACCACATTAGTCTTTAATGCTTAGGGTATATATACCCCTGGCAAAAATAAGTTTCCCTCTGTATTTTGAGGATATTGTTCCCAAAAGAACATATT